AATTTAAAAGGTAAAATGTCTGTGAAAAAACGAGAATTTAGCGAACGGTTGGAGGAAGGTGAGAGGGCGGGTGAAAGAATGAAGAGTTGGAAAGTTCATCTCCTTTTTAATACGATTAAGCGTAATAATCTCCGATTTAATCGCAAGGGCATTTTTATACAAGAGGCGACTAAAATGAGATAGAAATTCGCGAATTAATCCCGATTTTTCATTGAAAAAATATCTCTGTTGCGATATTCTCCACTAGATGAACGAATAAAGCTTTTCCTCGGATTTTATCCCTTGGTAATTCTCACTTTTATGAATTAATTGTCATGGTTCATGATCGAAACAGACTAATTCTCTGGAACACGCACTGATGAAGAAATCGCCATTAATTTTTTTATGAAAACCCGTCGAATTTTCCACATCATAATTACAATGACTCAACACAATTTTTTGCCGTGTAGAGGGGAAAATCCCCCCCTATTTTCTCCCACTTTTTTTTTGTACCCATCTCATGATTTATGACGAACAATGTGACGTGCGTTGATTAGACAACTCGTCATAGAATCTTTCACCATCTCTCAATAATTTCGTCGCATGATAAAATGTCATTATAGACGAAGACGAATTGCTGCATGGCTCATTCTCATTTGTCAATTTTTCGACTTATCGATTACTCGAGAATATTCTTCATTCTTTGACTTGACATTATACGAGGATTATCCGAGATGAACTTGAGGGATTTTCATTTCGATATAATCCAGTTGTTTGTCTTCTCAACAACTTCACTTCTTATCCCTCGTAATGATTGCACAGTCGGTTTCGTCAGTTTTACTTAAGATGTGGAACTTTAGTTCGATAATCTCTCCTGAAACCTAATCCCCAGTAGACAATGAACACCCGTTATTAATTTGATGTTAACAATTGCTCATTTCAATTAAAAACATCGGATTTTTTTCAAATTTAAAAAACACTCACGACTTAAATCATTCATAATTGTTTTTAAAAAGTGCTCTACGTCATTTTAATTAGGACCAATTTTCGACTCCTCTCTATAATTTTTGTCTCAATTAAAAAATTGGTTTGTGTGCCCCGCGTCTTGAATGAAAATCCGTAATCAGCAGATGGTAGAGTTAATTGTGGAAAATCGAGTAGATGCGTATTCAATGATGACTCGCACTGGAGGTTCAATTTAATCAATCGTATCACACACGGAGAGCACCTGGGTTATGCAAATAGTGAGCTCGTCAGCATTTAGATCCTGTACCAGGCGAATTCTCTCTCTCTGGAATTCATTTCTGTTTTCATACGAATTGAAACTCAATTCCGATAAAAGACCCGAGTGCCTTCACGCATTTCTCTTGCACTAGAAAAAGTACCCCGAATTGGCTGAATGTCTATAAAAATATACCGCGGTATTTGTAAAATTATGATAAACAAAA